TTCAGAAAGTGCTGTGCATTCACAGAAACATTTGCAGAAAGTGGAAAACCCCTCAGGATGCCTTGGCCGGGYTTCCTGAATGATCCACCCATCCCTTGGCTGTCTTTGGTCAGAATGAAGGCACGTCCATATTTCTATCTCACAGCTCAGAACTCCTGCTAGAAGTGAACTGGAAGGCAGAAGTGGTTTATAGAAGGATGTAATTTTTTCCACTCACGATTTGTAGCAGTGAGCAGCGGACAGCACCCACTGGCTGCTGATGAGGGAACCTCCACAGAAGTGATATCCAGAATTCAGGGACACCTGGTAGGGCACAGAGTGCTCTGKACAGGTGTAGCCACCCACAATCTTGTCATCATCATCTTCAGCGAAGGTGGGGAAGGCAACTGGGAGATAAGAAGTGCCATGTGTCAGCAGCTGTCCTAAGGGAACCTGGTGCCCTGTGGSTGYCTGCCTGAAGTCCCTCACTTGTTGGCYCCCCTTCTGTGGGCACTCAGGGCAGCAGTGGTGKGCAAGTCTAAGGCCCATTCATTTGCTGCCCCCTCAAAGAAGGGGATCAGAMTTGCACCGGTGCCTCACATGTCTGCAACTAAAGCACTGCTGGCTACTYCCTGAGGGARCAGCAGGGCACAGAAATGCTCGAGATGGATCAGATCACAAAGCTGTGTCTTTCCCAGGATTCTGTCGACTGAAACAATCAAGAGTGGACCGAGGGGAAAAGGAAAAACAAGTGTGCAGTGATATTTTCTTGGATCACCCACCCAGGTTCCAAAATTTTGCAGTTGCTTTAGGACCTCCTGGGCCMGAACTATTCCCTGGATACTCCTTAGTCCTGAAGAGGGAAGCAGCCTTTTTCTGAAGCTACGGCCACATCTCTRTAGCTGGGTCAGGAACACCTATGGAGGCGTTCATTCCCCAGCYGTGACACAAGCAGTTATGCACAGACAGGAGATGGAAATTGCAGGGCTCTGCCTTCAAAGTTCTGCCGCTCAAAACTGGACTTGGCTTTCCCACAATAGGCTACCTTGTGATTTTGCTCATAAAATCAGCATCCCATTAAATTGCAGAAATAGAAATAAAAAATATRCTCACCAGCCACCCCAATAAAGGCGAGAAGCAGCAGGCACTTCATGGTCTTGATTCTACCTCAAGCCCAGCTAGGCTGACTAAAAGAAGGAGCTGCTAGATATACGTTTTTGGTAATGGCCTTATCTCTAGTCCAAGGTTTTCTCCAGACAAAAAGTACACAGTGGAAAATTTGAAGATCCATATGTGGCCATTCACAAGTGTTGGTAGAATGTACAAATAATGTGCCCGTTAATCATAAACCTCTCCTTAGATAGAGAGCTATTTCAAATCATTCTGGAGGGTAGCCTTCAATCTAAAAATACATTTTGGCTTTAACAGATGYGTAGTTGTTTGTCTGTCTCATTCTTATACACAGCACCTGTTGAGAACAATTCTCAAACCACTTTCAGATTCCTCTGTGTTGATGGTGTGTTTCTTAAAAATGCAGCTTTTTACCAGAAKTTGTATATTTTAGGTAGTGGACAGAAAGACACAATGCATGTATTTGGAAAAAAAAAAAAAGGCCAGCAAATCTCGTGGTTAACTTTGATTTTAGCAAATACCTTTTC